ATCGATAAGGGATGGGGGGCATCGATACTGTGGTGAGGGCATTGTCACTCCCCCCGACCCTTCCATGCCCCCGCAGTGGTGAAGAACTACTTCCAGCTGCGGGAATTCTCCTTCACGCTGCGGGACGACGTGTACGTGCGGTTCCAGTCCTTCAGCAGCCCCCAGGAGCTGGAGCGGGAGCTGCAGAAGATCAACCCCTACAAGATCGACATCGGGGCCGTCTACTCCCACCGGGTGAGTGAGTCCCGGGCACCGTGCTCGGGGGTCCGTGGCAGTCCCTGATTCACTGAGCCCGTCCTGTCCCTCCCGCAGCCCAACCAGCACAACACGGTGCACTTGGGGGCCTTCCAGCCGCAGGAGAAGGAGCTGGTCTTCGACATCGACATGACGGACTACGACGACGTCCGGACGTGCTGCAGGTTCCCGGGGGGGAATTCTGGGCCGGGAGGAGGATCTGGGGGTGTGGGGCGGCCACCTGACCCACCACACTCTGCCCTCAGCTCGGCCGATATCTGCTCCAAGTGCTGGACGCTGATGACCATCGCCGTCCGCGTCATCGACCGCGCACTCACGGGTGAGGGTCTGGGGGGCACCTGCGGACCCCTGTGCACGTCTGGGGGGGACACGTGGACCCCTCTGCACACGCAGACCACGCTCTGCCCCACAGCGATGCCCAGACCTTGAAGAAGAGCCGGGGCAGAACTCTGGCGGGGTTGGGGGACATGCCGGTGCCCGGTGGGTTTGTGGCACCGCCAGCTTTGGGTGGTCACCACAGTCCATCCCGATGTGCCCCCAAACCCGTCTGTGCCCCCTGCAGAGGACCTGGGCATGAGGCATCGCCTGTGGGTGTACTCGGGCCGGAGGGGTGTCCACTGCTGGGTGTGTGACGATGCGGTGAGGAAATGGTCCCCAGCGCTGCGGGCGGCCACCGTGGAGTACCTGACCCTGGTGAAGGTGGGTGTGTGGGGGTCTGGGATGCCCTGACCCCGGTGAAGGTGGGTGTGTGGGGGTCTGGGATGCCCTGACCCTGGTGAAGGTGGGTGTGTGGGGGTCTGGGATGCCCTGACCCCGGTGAAGGTGGGCATATGGTGGTCTGGGCACCCCTGACCCTGGTGACGGTGGGTGCCCAGGGGTCCAGGCACCCCTGCCCGCCCCCCCAGGCTGAGCACCCCTGTCCCCGCAGGGCGGAGCAGACACGGTGAAGAAGGTGAACCTCTCCTACCCCGTGCACCCCTTCATCAGGTGGGTGGGGACCCCCTTGCCCGGCCCCGCAGCTCCCGGCGGGCGCTGAGCCCGTCCCGCTCTCCGCAGGCGCTCGGTGGCCGTGGTGGAGAAGTACTTCGAGGAGTATGCGCTGGTGGGGCAGGACATCCTGGGCAGCCCCGAGAGCTGGGACAAGGTGCTGGCCCTGGTCCCGGAGGATATCCTTCCCGGTGCCGTGGCGGGGCCGGAGGGAGGGTCTGCGCGGGGTCGGTGGGGTCCAGGCGGAGTGCGGGATGAGCCTTGACGGCCGGCACAGCACCGCGAGGCGCTGCAGGGCGAGTTCCCGCGCAGGAAGGACTCGGTGCAGCGCTGGGAGGTGCTGCGGGGCCGCATGGAGCGGACACGGGGCCGCGGGGCCGCCCCGTGCTACGCGGACTGGGAGATCATGCTGCAGTTCTGCTTCCCCCGCCTCGACATCAACGTCAGCAAGGGCGTGGGGCACCTGCTCAAGAGCCCCTTCAGCGTCCACCCCAAAACGGGTGGGTGTGGGGCCGGACCCCGCGGGGGGACCCCCAGGGCGGTCCCCACAGTGACACCCCCCTCTCTCTCTCTCTAAGGCCGCATTTCGGTGCCGCTGGACCTGCAGACACTGGACCAGTTTGACCCGTTCGCTGTCCCCACCATCACGTGCGTGAGCGGGGCGGCAGCGCTAAGGGCGGGGTCCTGGTGGGGCCACAGCCCCAAAACCTCACCCTGGTTCTCCCACAGCTCCCTGTGCCACGAGCTGGACACGGCTGGCAGCGATGGGGAGCAGGAGGACGTCGGGGAGATGGAGCCGAAGCGCCGGGCGAGGGGTGAGGGGGGTCTGGGTGGGCGTGAGGGGGGTCAGGGCCGGGGCGAGGGGGGTCCCCAGCACCCCTGCTCACTCCCCCCAACCCTCCAGACTACAAGAGGACAAGCCTGGCTCCCTACGTGAGGGTCTTCGAGCAGTTCGTGGAGGGCATGGAGAGCGCCCGGCGGGGGGAGCGGCTGCGCCGGAGCGGTGGGTGCCAGGAGGGGGAGACCCCCTGGCTCTGAGAAACGGCTCTTTTTCTGGAAAAATTCCCGTTTCTCCTCTTGGCAGACATTCAAGGAGACTTCTGAGGCCTCGCTGCCAGGGTCCTGGATGAAAGGACGGCGAGGGAGCGACGGCCATTGTCACTTCTGTCCTTGTCATTGTCACCTCGGCTGCCAGGGGGGTCCCGGTGCCTTGGAGCAGCCGAACTGCACCGCCTCCCTGTTCCTCACTCACAGCCCCTTACACTTTTTGTACTTTTTGTACCTTTTCTACACAAAAACCATTAAATGTTTCTGGTCACCCTTGTGCTGTGCCCGAGGTGGGCGGGGCTCTGTGTGTGGGGTCTGTGTGGGGTCTGTATTTGGGGTCTATTTGGGGTCTGTGTCCCTCCCCGTGGGGAGGAGCTGAGGGGATATCCCTGCTCTGCAGTGCGGGGTCTCTGCCCCCCAAAACCCAGCCTGTACCCCATGCCCTGACCCCCTACCCCTGCCCACTGCTGAGGTCAAGGCCCACATTCACAGCACCTCATCCCCACACCCGGGGCGTTCCTCGCTTCCCTCCCACGGGGGTCCCGCCGCACCCCTGGGGGGTCCCCACGCCCATAGTGGGGGTGACCCGAACAGAGCCCGGAACTCCGGAGCGCGGCCCTGGGGGCGGGCCGGGCCATGTTGCCGGGCGCTTCCCCCTGCCCCGGAAGTGCCGTGCTCCCGGAAGCCGCGCTCCCTCCACGGTCTCTTTCCGCCGCCATCTTGGGCCCCGCTCCCCGCACAGTGAGTCCCGCGCCGCCATCCGCCGCCATCCGCCGCCATCCGCCGCCGCGGGGGCCGCGGCGCGCCCGGGAGGACCCGCTGGAGGCCGGCGATGCGGCCGCGGGCGCGCCGGGCAGGGCGGCGGGGGCGGTCCCGCGCACTGGGGGCGAGAGGGGGGGAGAAGGGGGCGGCCCAGGCCCGGGGTCGGGACGGAGCTCAGGCTCGGCCCGGGCCGTGCGGGGGAGTTGTCTCGGTAGATTGCCACAGTAGCGGGAGGCGCTCGGTGCTCCGGAGCGCGGGGATGCGGGGAGGGCGAGTTACCGGCGCCCGGTGGTCGCCCCGCCGGGCTGTCCCGGAGCCCCGGCGAGCCCGGGCCTGTCGCTTTGTGCCTCCCTCCCGCAGAAATGCCCGGCGAAGCCACAGAAACCGTCCCGGCCACGGAGCAGGAGTTGCCGCAGCCGCAGGCGGAGACAGGTGAGGCCGGGGGGGCTCCGGGGCGGTTTTGGGGCTGAGGCCGGGAGAGGGTCACGGTTTGGGGGTCGATTCCCGGGATCCCCCCGCCCGGCGGGATCTGAGGGCGGGAGGGGGGAGCTGCAGCCCCCCGGTGAGGGCGGGGAGGGGGTCGCGGACCCGGTGGCGGGTGAGCGACACCAGCTCGAGTGTTGTCACCTCCGCCGGGGGGGTTTGGGGTCTCTGTTCCACGGCCCCTCCTCTTCCTCTGTGTCCCTTTGCTGCGGCCAAAACAAATCCGTGCCGGTTCCGTTTTGTTTCCCACCCCAGAACACGTGGGATATCCCACAGGGAGCGCGACCGGAGTGGAGCGGTGGGGTCTGCTCGATTGGATTTGGGGATCTCCCTGTTGGATTTGGGGATCTCCCTGTTGGATTTGGGGATCTGCCCCATTGGATTTGGGGGCTCCCATTGGATTTGGGGCTCCCCATGGTTGGTGGCAGAGCCGAGTGACAGCTGTTGGCGTGACAGCTGTGCCAGGGATTCCCGGGGAGCTCCTGGTTCCTCGTAGCTGGAATTCCTGGCTGGGGCCCCCTCCCCGGATGGCTTTTCTGTCCCTCTCCACTGACAACTCACACCCTCCTCCTCCTCCCAAAATTCCACTGCTGTCAAGTCTCTGACGGTGTCATGGGAGTCCTGAGGCAGCTCCTTGGATTTTGTCTGGTTCTGTGGAGGTTGGCTGGTCCCCTGGAAAACCCCTGGAGATGGGGCTGATCCAGGGGTTCAGCTCTTGGCAGGCTCTGCCGCTCAGGTGGTTTGAGCATCCCTTACAAATTCCGTGTCTTTTGGGAATCCTGTGGCTTGACTTTGTTGGAAAAGGGGCCAAGGAGAGGTGGGGCTGTGGGTGATGAGTGGGAATGGGGGTGTTTATCGGGAATGTCCTCAAACGGTGCCACTGGAGCTGGTAGAGGAGCAGGGATGAAGGACTGTTGGGAGGAGGCAGCTCTGCACAGTTCCACGATGGGCCCTTGGCAGGACTTGTTGCTCCTTCCTGAGGCAGCAGCGTGTTCCTTGGAGCAGGAATTGTCCTGGCACCGATGTCCAGCTCCAGGCTGGTCAGGACAGGTGGAGCTAAAATCGGGCATTAGAAACATCATCTGGGACACCATTCCTGGGGCGGGGAAAGGGCCGTTGCTCCCCACAGAGAGCCCCACACACGTGTCCCGCTCCAGGTGGCAGCGAGACGGGGACACGAGTGTGACCCCGATCCTGGGGTGGGATGGGGACAGCAGGCAGGGCCACACAGAGCTGGGAGGGCCCTGCTGCTCCCAGGATCCACGGACCTGGGCTGGCTTTGGTTCTGCAGTTGTTGGGGATCCTCCCTGGCCCCGCTGCCCTCGCCGGACGTGCCGGGACACGCTGCTGGAGGGCGGCACCGCGGCCGGGCCGGTTCTGTTCTCCCGACCGGCGGCAGGGCCGGTCACACTGGTCAGACCAGCACTGCCCTCCCAGAGACCGCGGCCTCTTCCCTGAGCAGCGCCCTGGGACCGCCCGTTGGCATTGGGAAAGGGGCTGGGAATCACGCTGGGAATGGCAGGGCTCAGCGCTGGCTGGGGGAGCTCCCACGGCCTCTTCCCTGAGCAGCACCCTTGGATTGGCGTTGGGAATGGCAGGGCTCTCTCCAGGCTCTTCCCTGAGCAGCACCCTTGGATTGGCGTTGGGAATGGCAGGGCTCTCTCCAGGCTCTTCCCTGAGCAGCACCCTTGGATTGGCGTTGGGAATGGCAGGGCTCTCTCCAGGCTCTTCCCTGAGCAGTGCCCTTGGATTGGCGTTGGGAATGGCAGGGCTCTCTCCAGGCTCTTCCCTGAGCAGTGCCCTTCGCTCGGAGTTGGGAATTGTGTTGGGATTGGCAGGGCTCTCTCCAGGCTCCCTCAGCACTGGTTCAGGGAGCTGGAAGCTGAGCACTCTCAGTCAGTGGGACGAGCCTTAATAAACTGTTGTTCTCCCCGTCCAGCTCCAGCTGCCCCCGTTCCTGCTCCCATCCCTGCTCCAGGTACTCGGGACGTCCTGTAACCGCTCGTGTGCCGCATTAACCGTGTGCCGTTCCGGGGGTTGCAGTTCCATTAACCCTAACAGCTCCCAGGGGGCTCTGGGGTCCCGGCCCCACCATCCCCTGCCTTGGTGTCCCTGTCCCCTCAGGGCACCTGCCTGTGTCACCCAGGGCTGGAGGGAGGGGGCTCCCAGAGCGCTCCAGGAACAATTCCGCATGCCAGTGGGTTACATTTGACTTCCTTCCTCTCCTCAAGGGGGTCCTTGTCCCTCCCTGCTCCCACCAGCCTGGGGTGTGATCCCAGGCTCGGGAGCAGCCCTGGGGAGGCAGACCTCCACGGAGGTTGTGGCAACTCCTTTGGTAGAGAAGAGCTGGCAGTAGAGTCAGGTCCCTGCATCCCCAGCCCGATGGGGCTTCCTGGTGGTTCAGCTGGTGCCTCCTGCCATTCCAGGGCTCCCGGGAAAATCACTGCTGGTTTCTGGAAGGGATGACCCCGTGTGGACCCCGGCGGGCTGGGCAGTGTCTGCTGCTCTAGAGGCTGGGTGCCAAGGCCGGGAGGAAGGCCAGGGCAGGCTCCCTGTCCCCTCCCTCCCTCCCTCCTCTCATGGCTCACTCTGTTTCTCTCCTTTAGCTGTTCTTCATGCTGCTCATTCCCCACCTCTGACTCCATCTCCATCTGCCCAGGCTCTCCCAGCGCAGCCACCCAGCGCTGCTGCCACGGCCCTGCCGGGCCCCCCAGCCCCCACATCCCCCGCCGTGGTCCCGGCCGTGGCCGTCCCCGTGTTCTCTGTGCCTCCCCAGCCCCCTGCCCCAGCTTTGCCGGGCCCAGTCACCACTTCCCCTCCTCTGGCTCCGCCGTCCCCCGTGGGTTTTGCAGCCCCGGGATCCCCAGGGCCTGCCCCAGTTAGCCCAGGATCTCCAGGACTCCAGGCTCCGGTGTCCCCTGCTCTGGCTGCTGCTCCTGCTGCTCTCAGCTCTCCTGTGAAAGCTGCTCCTGCTGCTGTCCCTCTGAGCCCAGCAGGAGCTGCAGCCCCAGCCCCTCTCCCTACTCCTGGAGCAGCCCCGGTCCCCCTCCTGCCTCCCCCTTCCCAACCCCTTGTGGCATCTCCCCCACCAAAAGTGTCCCCCACTTTCCTGCCTGCTCCCACCGTGGCAGTGAGTCCGCAGAGCCCGGGCTCGCCCCCCGTTCCTGCAGCCCCTCTCAGCCCTGCCGTGTCCCCGGCAGTCCCGGTGTCTCCTGGCAGTCCTGCCTCCACCCCTCTGGCTTCTGTTCCAGCCTCTCCTCAAGCCCCAGCTCTGACTCAGTGCCCAGCCCTGGTTGGTGCCATCTCTCCACCCATCTTCCTGGCTGCCCCCAAGGCCCCCTTGTCACCCCCCATCCCTCTGCTGCCGGCTGGGATGTCCCCTGGGTGTCCTGCTGTCCCAGCCCCTGGTGCTCCAGTCTCTCCACTGGTCCCAGTTGGTCCATCTGCTGCCAAGGCCTGTCCCGTGGGCCCTGCCCCAGTGGCCCCAGCTGTGGGACACCTGGTCCCTCCCTCGGTGGCCAGGACCCCTCCTGGGAGCCTGGACCCTCAGGCAGCGCCTGTGGCAGCTCCTGTGGCTCCTGCCCTGGCCACACCTGCTCTGGGAGCTGCTGTGTCTCCCCCAGGGCCACCAGCTCCAACTAGTCCCCTGTTGCCACCAGCAGCTCCTGTGCCCACTGTGCCCCCTGCCAGCTCCCTGCCTGTCCCACCAGCCATGGCAGCTCCAGCCACCTCTCCTGCAGCCAAACCAGCTCCTACGAGCCCAGTCACTGCCCCTTCTGTCCCTGTCCCACCAGCCATGGCAGCTCCAGCCCCCTCTCCTGCAGCCAAACCAGCTCCTACGAGCCCAGTCACTGCCCCTTCTGTCCCTGTCCCACCAGCCATGGCAGCTCCAGCCACCTCTCCTGCAGCCAAACCAGCTCCTACGAGCCCAGTCACTGCCCCTTCTGTCCCTGTCCCACCAGCCATGGCAGCTCCAGCCACCTCTCCTGCAGCCAAACCAGCTCCTACGAGCCCAGTCACTGCCCCTTCTGTCCCTGTCACACC